CACTTCCCGATGCCGAGGCCGCGACGCTGATCCGGTCATCGCTGGTGCGGCTGGGACTGCCCGCGCCCGCAGTGACCGAGGACATGGCGAGGGACCAGGCCGAGTACCACATGGAGCTGGCGCGCGAGCTGGGCGGCCTGCTGCTCGGATCCCAGGGCGCTCCCGGCCTGATGGGCCGCGGCAGCGTGCTGGCCCAGGGCAAGGCGAGGGAGTCGCTGGCGAGGATGCCCGAGACGGAGCGCGGACTGCTCGGACTCGACGAGATCTGGTGTGTGTGGAACCGAGCGCGCGGCATAGGTGAGTTTTGTGGCGAGGGCGACTTGGGCCTGGCCGTGCCGTCCATAGGATACCCCGGGCCTCCAATGCTGACATCCTCTCCCTGCCCCATTCCTCCTCTCCGTACCCAGCGCTGGTGCCGCCGCAAGCGCTGCGATCGGCCTCGCTCTACCTGCCCGACCTCACCTCGCCTTCGATCCAGCTCAAGACGTTTGATTCTGGCCTTGCCGTGCTCCATACGCCGCGGTACAGCGAGAATGCGTTTGCCGCGCGGCTGGTGGGCTACCTGGACGCGGTCGAGGACGAGCACCGTCGCCGGTCCCCCGCGACACCAGGAACGGCACAGGAGTGGGGGCCAGGCCTGTCGACGCTTGAGATTGCAGAGCGGGAGAATGCGCCGGTGCTGCTGGTCACGGAACTCGTCGAGATGGTCGAGATCAAGAGCGGGCTGGTGGTGCGCGACCAGGCGAGGAGCGGCGTGCGCTGGTACTTTAACCACTTTGCCCGGGCGCGGTAGCCCGCCGTCGTGGCCGTGGCCGTAGGCATTCAACGTTGAAGACGAGATAGACAGCCGACACCTGGTGATGGCGACGGCATCGAGCGAGGGCTGTGCAGTGTGTCGAGCAGGCAGGCGAGCAGACGTGCGATGCTGGGCCCGGCGGCGTGGGTCGGTGGCCGGCCAAAGAAGTGCAGGTCAGAAGCAAGCAGGCGCTGCCAACGGGTCGGCGAGCTGGCGCGGCAGCATGACGTCGCGGCTGCGGGCAATTTCGTACCAAAGTGGGGGACCAAAGCAGGCGCTGAGCGCGTCCCGCAAGTCGCCGGCGAGCCCAGCCGGCCGGGCATCTGGAAGGGTCCGCTACCGGGCGGCCGCTCACCATCGTGCTCGCTCTCGAGCTTCCACCCTTTACCACCGTCTGCGAGCCTTTGAAGGTGCCTCGAGGCATGCAATCCAAGGGGGCGAGAGCAGGAGGAGCGAGATGCTGGCAGAGGGGATCAGGGTGGGCGTTCTCGAAGGCAGAAGCCAAGGGTGCGGCGATGGCGGCCTCTTCTTGCACTCGGGTAGATAAGGCGAGCGGCCGTCTGCTGGAATGCTCGGCTTGGACACATGTCTGCCTGCCGGACCAGGTCGTCCGCCGTGCGACGGTACCGGTGGTGGTTTCTGCTTGCTGCCTTGAGCCCGTGAGCATGGCTCAGGCAAAGTGAATGCATGCGTCGAGGCGTGGGGTCGAAGTGAGATCGAGTAAGGGACAGATAGAAGGGCCAGAGGCGATATGATCTTGATGCCGGTACCGGTCTTGCTCCAAGAGGCTGGGAGCTGGTGGTGTCTTTCGTCATAGGCCAGGCCGGGAGCAACCTGAAACGGCATCGCACCTGGCTACATACGTACAAACGTACTTCCGCGGCCCAAGGCGTCGGCAGGGTGGCCTACGGAAGCACCCGCCGTCTGGCCGGCCTGCTGTGGGTCTTGGCGCCAGGATGTTCGGCAGGCCGTAGCCAGACGAGCCTAGGCCTACCGGCACGATGCCGGAAGTCATGCGCGCCGATGACAGGTGTGGGTGGACCTACCTCCAAACCGTACATCGCCCTGCTGCCTCTTTGCAGTCACTTGTCCCGTCGTCGTGCTGGCCTCGCCTTGTCGTGGTCTTGGCTATGCTATGCCATGCCCTGCTCCGTCCCTCTCTCTTCTGCCTCACCATCATCACCACCACATGCTGCCGCACTCGACCCGTCCTTGAAGCTGCTGCTCGTGCCGTTTGCATATCCGCGCCGCCACGATGGACCCTTCCTCGTCGAAGTCGACGTCGACGTCGTCGCCGGACCCGCCGCCGCCGCCGCCGCCGGGCGCCATCCACCACAAACACAAGGACTTTTGGAGCGCCGACAATCCCATCCCATCGATCCAGCGCTTTGTCAAAAAGGGCTTCTCCGAGGTCGTCAACAAGGACAGCGAGGAGAGCGACTCGGACGACAGCTCCATCGGCGAACCCATCAGCCCCACGGCGCCCACCTCGCCATCCTCGCGCCAGCGCAACCGGCTCAGCAGGCTCTTTGGATCGGGCCGAAGCGCTGCAAAGGACGGCGACGACCATCGCAGCCAGGGCGACGCCGCCGAGGGACTGGCGCAGCAAGACGATGCCGACATCGCCGACGAGCCAAGCGACGCGCACCAGGACCCCTCCAGGGCCGCCAGCGACGCCCGGCGGCGGACGCGCAAGCCCCGCCTGGTCGACGACCCCATCACCGGCCAGCAGACCTGGATCCACGACGTCAGCCGCAAAGAGTATCGCCGTGCCATGAAGACCATGGACGACCTCTACGCCGACGAGGCCAGATCCAAGCACGACGGCAAGGCCCACGGCCCGCCCCCCGGCCCCCGGCGCAGAGGGCCGTTCGCCGACAGCGAAAACGTCATGACGATGCCCTTTCCGCCCGAGCCGTCGCTGCCGGCCACGATCCGCGACATCCATCCGCTGCTCATCCCTCTCTTTCTGGCGTGGGGCATCATCACCATCCTCGGCGTCCTCCCCGCCGTCCTCTCGGTCGGCCTCAACGCCTGGCTGGGCTGGTGGACCTGGAAGTCGATCCGCGAGTCGGCAGAAGATCACCGGTGGCAGCGCGAGCGAGCGAGGGGCGAAGCGGCCCGGGGTAAGCTGCCGGCCATGGGTCAGGCGGCAGCGGCTTCCGCCGGCAGCGCCCCGGGCCACAGCGACGACCTGGGCTTCGAGGGCGTCACCGAGGGGGCGGAATGGCTCAACGGCATCCTCGAGGGCCTCTGGGAGGTGCTCAACCCGCAGCTCTTCTCGTCGCTCGGCGGCACGCTCGAGGACGTGATGCAGGCGAGTATCCCGGGCTTTGTCCACGCCGTCAAGGTCGTCGACGTGGCGCAGGGTTCGACGCCGCTCCGCCTCACGGGCCTGCGGATCCTGCCGGACAACGACAAGGACATCGAGGTGCTCCACAAGGCGGCGCAGCGCGAGCTGCGAAAGAAGCGCCTCCGCGAAAAGGTCATGAAGGACCCGCACGAGGAAGAGGTGCTGCGGCGGCTCGAGGAGGAGGACGCCCGCGACACGCGAGGAGCCTCAAAAGGTCCGCAGACGGCCGAGGAGCTCGACTCGGGCAAAAAGGTGCGCGGCGAAGAGGGCGCCGGCTCGACGTTTATCAACGTCGAGCTGGCCTTTGTCTACCGCGCTCGGCCGACGGTCAAGACGGTGGCCAGCAAGAGCCGAAACGCGCATCTCCAGATCAAGTTCTGGCTAGGGGCCAGGAAGGTCTACAGCGTGCCGCTGCCCGTGCTCGTCGAGATCTCCGCCTGGTGGGCCGCGTGCGGATGCGCGTCCAGCTGACGCCCGACCCGCCGTTTGTCAAGAACGTGACCCTCTCGCTCGTCGGCCTGCCGCGCGTCGGCGTCGAGGTGGTCCCCTTTCTGCGCCTCAACACGTCTAACCTGCCCTTTATCAGCAGCTTCATCCAGAGCTCGATCGACGCCGCCACGAGCGAGTACGTGGCGCCCAACAGCCTCACGATGGACGTCGGCGAGATTCTCATGGGCGACAACATCAAGCGCGAGGTCGACGCGCTCGGCGTCCTGGTCGTCTACATCCACTCGGCCTCGGACCTCGAAGCGCAGGACCTCGGCGGCTCGAGCGACCCGTATTGCACCGTCAGCCTGGCCAAGTACGGAAAGGTGCAGTACGCGACGCGCGTGGCGCTCAACGACCTCTCGCCGCGCTGGGAGGAGCGCCACGTCATGACCATCTCGCCCGAGGCGGTGCGGGCGCGCGAAAAGGTGGCCATCGCACTGTGGGACTCGGACCGCTTCACGCCCGACGACATGCTCGGCCGCGCCGAGGTCGACCTGCTGGAGCTCGTGAACCGGCCTGGCCGCCTCTTCCGCCGCAAGGACCCGCTCATCGGGCTCAGCCGCGAGATGAAAAAGGAGGGCACCATCGAGTGGTCGGTCGGCTTCTTTGCCAAGGCGCCCAACCGCCCGAGCCGCGAAAAGGCCAAGGGCATCGAGCAGATGGTCGAGGGCAAGGGCGGCGGGGACAAGGGCGAGGGCAGGAGCGGCGGCGACGGCGACGGCGACAGCGAGGGCGACGACGACGACAACGGCCGCAATGACCCCGTCGACGAGACCAAGTGGGACGCGGCGGGCGAAGCGACCAACCAGGTGCGGCGACTGTCGCAGGAGGCCGTCAAGGAGGGCGAGAGCTTTGCCGACCAGATGCTGCGCCAGGACGACGGTCGGCAGACGAGGCACCAGGAGACGGCGGTCCAGTTTGAGCCGCCCAACCCGTCGCTCCCCTCGGGCATCCTCTCGATGCAGATCCACCAGATTGCCAACCTCGAGAGCGCCGACCACGGCGGCGGATCGTCGCTGCGGCGGCGCAGAAACGGCCCCGGCCAAGACGTCGAGACCGTCGAGGTGAGTCCGGCAACCGGTCGCGCGCGAGCCGTGTCGGATGCCCCGCCAACTCCTTTGCTGACCTTGTGGCCATGCCCCTCGGGGGTCCCCTCTTTGCCCGCTCGCTTCCTGACCTCGCCAGACCGAGGAGGAGCCGCCGAGCGCGCCCTCGGCCTATGTCAGCATCATCATCAACGACGAGACCGTGTTCCGGACGCGTACAAAGGCGCTGAGCCGGAACCCGTTCTACAATGCCGGTACGGAGCGCTTCATCCGCGACTGGCGCCGGACGCTCCTCATGTTTGTCGTGCACGACTACCGGCTGCGCGAGGCCGACACGATCCTGGGCGTCGTGGCCATCCGGCTGACGGACCTCTTCAAGGAGACGTCGCAGGTGACGCAATTCTTCCCCATTGCCGGCGGCGTCGGCTACGGGCGCATCCGGCTCAGCCTCCTCTTCCGGCCCATCATGGCCATGACGCGCGTCAAGTCGAAGCTTGGCTGGAACATTGGCACCGTGCGCCTGCTCACGTCGCCCGTGGCCACCGACTTTGTCGAGGGGACCGGCTTCACGGCGCACGACCTCCACCTCACCAGCCTTCGCGCGCGCACCCTGGCCGGCAGCAACAAGGTGTCGGCCCACCGCGCCCGCCACACCGACGACGGCAAGTCGATCGAGTGGAAGATCCGCGACGACGAGTTCCCGTTCCGCGTCCCGGCCCGGCGGCGGTATGCGGCGCCGTACATGGTCAGTCTTTTGGCGCGAGGGCACCAGGGTCGCGCCTGCGGATGGCCGGTGCTGACCATGCTCTGCCCCTTCCTGTCCTTCCTTTGCCCCGCTCCTTCCTCTCTCCTCCCTCTTTCCTCCCTCCCCGACCCGACATGCAGATCGAGTTCCGCGGGCACAATGCGCTGGGCAAACACAAGGTGATTGCCATGTGCATCGTCTGGATGCAGGACCTGTCCGACGACGAGGTGACGTCGGAGCGCCTGCCCATCTACCGCCCCAAGCCGGGCCACGACTTCCACCGGCTTCGGCAAAACTATCACGACTACCGGCGCGAGGCCGAGGCCGAGGCGCTGGGCGTGGAAAAGGTGGGCTACCTCGAGGTCAAGATGCAGTTCAAGTCCGGCCTGGGCGAGGTGCACGTCGAGCTCGAGGAAAACAGGGACGCCAAGGCCGTCATGCAGGCGTGGCAGTGCTGCGTCGCCGCCGGGCTGAGGGACAAGAAGGGCGACTTTGCAAAGTCGCGCCTCAACACGCAGGGATACCTCGAGGACGAGAAGAGGCAGGTCGACCTCGGCACCGAGCTGGGCGATAGCGAGCGGGATAGCGATGGCGATGGCGATGGCGATGGCGATGGCGATGGCGACAGCGACGACGGCGGCGAGAAGCGTGCGGGGACGAGACCAAAGTACGTCGAGGGATCCAACATGGTCAGGTCTCCCACCGCCTCGTCCGGCTCCGGTTCCGGTTCCGGTTCCGATCACCATCGCCACGACGACGACGACGACGACGACGACGCCGCCGGCGAGGAGGAGGATCCGACGCTGAGGGAGAGGATGAAGCGGTGGCGCGACGAGAAGCGCGAGCGGCATCGGCAGCACCGCGGCGTCAAGCAGTTCAAGGCGGTGCGCACGGCCAGCTGGCTCGGCTCGTCGGCCAAGTCGGGCAGCTCGTCGCTCTTTGGCAGGCTCAATATCCAGGATCGCAGGACGGCCGATGTCGAGACGGAGCTGTGAGACAAGACCGACGCAGGCCGAGGTGCCAAGCCCCCACGAGCCCAATGCCAGCTTGTCTTGGCCGGGCGGAATCGGTCGAGGCCCTTCCCCGTGGTGCCCCACGACTGCCTTGTCCACGCACGCATGTCGATCTGTTTCGAGGAGCGATTAGTAAGGGATGCCTTTGCAAACCAAAGACGGCGATGCCGTCGTCGCGTCGCCGCTGCTGCCAGTCCGGATCTAGGAATTGACAAGTGTGTCGAGTGCCCGCCTCCAGCTCCGAGCAGCGCGGGCCCGTCTGCGTCGTGTCGTGTCCTATCGTGCCGTGCCATACCTCCCTCGCCCACGCCCTCGCCCTCGCCCTCGGCCGCCGTGTCACTGCTGCCCCGCCTTTGCGTGCATCTCGGCAGCCGAGTCGGGCATGGCCTCGTCGTCCTCGCCGGGCCTGGCGCCGCCACCGCTGCCACCCTCGACGTCCTCGTCCATGGCCTGGTCGACGAGTCCCGCTTCCGATCCCCTCCGTGCCGGCGCCACGATGGACGCATCGGCATCGCCCATGCCAATCGAGCTGCCGCCCCTGCTCATCCTCCGACTATCGATGCCGCCGCCGACGCCGCCGCTGCCGCCTCCCGTGCCCGCTCCTCCGACCATATCGAAGCCGGGGATGCTGGGCGGCGCCCGGATGCTGCCGAGCGTCTCTGTGCTATCCACCGATCCGCGGCGCGAGGGCGACGCGACGCCGTCCGGGATCTCGCTGCCATCGAGCGAGGGCGGCGGCGATGCGGTGCCAATCGTGGCCGCGGTGCTGCCGGCGCGCGAGGCGGGACCCTGAACCAGCCGCGACGACAGCCCGGGCGCAAAGGCGAGGGGCGTGGATCCTCTGGGCGGGAAGACGGGCAGCGAGGTGCCGCCGACGCCCGCTTCGCCGCCCATGATTTCTCGCTCGCGCATACGTTGCCGCTCGATGTAGGCTGCGCGCAGGGCGAGCTCCTGGTCGTCGGCGGTGCCCGTGCTGCCCTGGCCTCCTCCCGTTCCGCTTGAGCTGATGCTGCCGGCCTCGGAGGGTGCCACGCTGGCCACAGTACGGCTCAGGCCGCTGGGGCCCGGCGCCAGCCGACCGGCGTAGGCCGCGGCGTCGGTGGGGGCGAAGCCTGCCGAGAGTGGGGGTGAGCTACCTCGGGCCGAGGCCGAGTAGGAGGAGCCGGCCGTGGCGGATGCTCCGCTGACAGTGGCGCTGGACCGCGTTTCGGGGAACGGACTCGCCGGCTCCGAGATATCGACCATCTGGGGCTTGGGCGAGCCCGGTGGCTGCACAGCGACCGAAAAGACGGAAGCGGCGCCGGGGCTGTGCGGGCGGAAGGCTGCCGTGCGCGGATCCAGCTCCGGCGGCACTCCCGCTGCGTGCCGTGCATCGAGGCGCAAGGAAGAGAGGACCGACGGCGAGGGTCAGGATCGCAGCGTGCCTTGGCTACTCGCGAGGTGGGTAGAGGGCGGGGAGGGTGACAACTCACGGACCGGCGCGCCTCCTTCGCCAAAGTTGCCCACGCTGGTATCCCCGGTTTCGAGGCTGAGGGCGGCACCGTCTGCGTCGGTAGAAGAGGTGGGCAGGTCGTTGTCGTTGTCGTTGTCATTGTCATGGTCTCCTCGGCCATGGTGGCGGTCTCCGCGCGGGTCGACGCCCTGCCCAGGTAGGCGGATGCCGGGTGCGAGCTGGTCTGCGTCGGGGATGCGTTCGAGGTTGTCTGCGGTGAGTGCGCGGGCCCTGCGGAACTCTGCGGTGGATTCGAGCTCCTCGTTTGCGGCAGCCTTGAGCGCCTCTGCTCGCTCGGCGGGGGTTAGGTGGTCGTAGCGGGTGTCGTAGTCGTTTCGGCGCTGGCCGAGGTGCGACGTCTTGGCGTAGCGGCGTGCCGACGAGTCGTCGCGGAGGTCGACTTGGTCGGGCGGTGCCGAAGCGGCGGTGGTGGCCGAGGGCTGCTGGGACATTGCTGCGGAAGTGACCCGCGTGGTGGGATGGGATGAGCGCGCCTCGGCTGGTGTCGGACGGGTCGAAGCTGGGCTGCGCTGGGCTGAGGCTGGCGGCGATGCGGTCAGGAGGGTGTGCTGTTGGTCAACGTTGTCGAGCAAGGCAGTGTCGAGATGAGGCGAGGCGAGGCGAGTGAGACGGGGGATGCTGGCAAAGAGAAGAGAGGCGCGGATAGTAGTGAGATGGTGGTGGTAGGCCAAAGGCGAGGCGAGGCGAGCATGACGGGTACCAGAAGCGCAACCGCTGGCCCCGGCGCAGTGTATGTAGCATCGCGCATGCCAGCAGCCAGCCAGCCGGCCAGCCCCTAGGCCTGGCCTCGTCGTCGTGTGATGGCGGGCCAGCCGGGGCGGGGGCGGGGGCGGGGCTGGGGCCCAGACTAGACTGCTGGCCGCTGTTCGCTTTTCCTCGCACAGATGTCGCTACCCGGCACCCGGCCCCGCCTGGCCTGCCTGCCAAGTCGCTACGTCACGCCGCCGCCCTTGCTTTCTCGCCAGCTGCCAATCTCAATCTTATTGGTCTCGCTGCCACCTTCGTCGCTGGCAGGGCTGGCCGAGCTTGGCCTCTACGAAATGGTCACCAATGTCTTGTCAAGCTCAAGCCACGCATCACGCATGGACTGCCTCTCAGCATGGCCTCCAGGCGGGTCGGATGGCCCCGCAAAGCAAAGGCCCGCTGGCCTGGGCTGCGCTCGGGCCAGCCTTAGTCGGAGGATCTTACGGCCGATACCGGGCGGCGGCGGCGGCCAAGAAAAATTTGAGCTTGCTCCACATCGGCGTGCGGGCTGCACCACCTTCGCACAGCCCTCAGACAACCTTCGAGGTGGCTCACCTCTCTTCTCACACGTTTGACGACTGACGAACGACGACACCGACGACACCGACCACATCGCACCACACTCACCACCACCTAGCATGCCCGCCGTATCAGCCGCCGCAGTGGCCGAGGCAAAGGCGTCGAAGCGCAAGGCCGAAGACGACCAGCCCAACCACGACGGCTCCGACTACGACTCGGACTCGAGCGATCCCGTGAGCAGCCCTCGTTCGTCGACTTTGCCCTTGCACCGGCCCACGCCCTGACAGCCCCGACGCACCCTCGTCCTCCTCCTCCCTCTCCCCCTCAAACGCCCCGCAGGACTTTATCAATGTCGACTTCGACTTCCGATCGCCCGAGGAGATCGACTTCCAGGCCCTCAAGCGGCTCCTCCAGCAGCTCTTCTACTCGCACGCCACCCACCTCGACCTCGGCGCCCTCGCCGACCACGTCATCAAGCTTGCCACCACCGACGGCGTAGGGACCACCATCAAGATCGACGGCGACGAGGACCAGGACCCCTACGCCTTTGTCAGCGCCCTCGAGCTCGGCCCCAGTTCAGCCAGCACCACCGAGGCGGCGACGGCGGCCACCGCGACCCTGACAAAGTACCTCTCCGACGTCCTCGGCAAGTCGCCGGCCGCAAAGGACTTTCAGGATCTCATCAAAAAGGCCCTCTCGCCCACCTCGACCAACCCGCCCGTCACGTTTGTCCTCCACGAGCGCATGGTCAACATGCCCCCCCAGGTCGCCCCACCGCTCTACAACATGCTCGTCGAGGAGCTCGAGCAGGCCCGGAGCTCAAAGGTGAGTCGCGCCGCCGTCGCGGCAGGAGGGCCCGCCATCCAGTACTGACCTCGTCTGCCTCCTCTTGCTGTCGTGTTCGTCGGTCCGCCGTTCCGCCGCCCTGTGCAGACGCCCGCCCCGACCAGGCCCTCGCACCTCATCTTCTTCTCGCGCGTGTTCTCGGCCGATGCCTTCTCCGACGACGAGGCCATGGACGAGGACGACGACGACGAGGCCACCGGCCTAGCGGGCGCGCGGCGGCGCAAGAACAAGCTCGCCAAGCGCGAGGCAAAGAAGCAGGGTGCCAAAAAGGACGCCGCGCGGGTGCGCGCCATTGCACAGGGCACCGGCATCGGCGGCGGCAACAGCGGTGAAGAGGAGCTTGGACTCTTCCACCCAGAGGACAAGGCCCTCGCAAAGGTGCGTTGCTGGCTCTTACCGCGGCCCGATCCGATTCCGTCGTCGCGCCTTAATGATCAGCTGGCTGACCTCGCGCCCCCCTCTCCCTCCTCCACCCACCTCGACTTTCGACCCTAGTTCGCAACACATACCCACACCTTCCGCTTCCCGCCACCACAGGATGCGGCAGACAGCTTCGAGGCGCCCCTCTTTGGCCGCATCGTCGCCCTGCCCTACGACAAGCTCGCCGATGTCCTGGCCCAGGTCCAGCTCGACCTCGCCGCCCCGTGATGCATGGTACCCGAGAATCAACACGCAAATGCCCATGTCGTATCATTCAAATCAGGCCGTGATGGTGTGAGCAGTGTCGCAATCGCCTGGCGGCTCCATCGGCCGAGCCGGCCACAGCTGAGGCGGGTAGGGTCGCGCGTTTGCGCGATCTGAGTGCTGTCCGGAGGCGTACGGCAGCGGAAGAGAGCAACTGGATATCGATGAGACGGCGCTCGGGCGCTCCGTCTGGGAATGGTGGTATAATGAGCCAAGGGATGGACCGATAGCGGATCTTCGGTTTCCTGGGAGGGGCATTGAGGCGTGCTCGAGTGAAGACTCGCAAGTTGATGATAGGGTGGGCGACCTTGGTGAGCCTCGCCCTCGCCGACTAGGAGGGAGAAGCCGAGCGCGCGCTGGCGCGGGGCCTCGACCTTCGCGGTGGTGGGAGCAAGCCCCTGTCCGGCAGCGCTCCCATGGGCTGAGCCGTGAGGAAGGGATCCGCGACGTCGGTCGACGGCAGCTGGCAGAGGGCCGGGAGCGACGCGACCTCGGCCGTGGTCATCGTGACTGGAGCAGCGGTGGGTCGAAAGGCGGGCGAGCCCAGTGCCGAAGACGACGCGGTGCTCGCGGTCCTCGACCTCGGACCATCGCCGCCCTTGCCGCCGGACGACACGGCCGAGGCAACCTCGGGCTCAGCCTCGGCAGCGGCGGTCGACTCGCTGCTCGTGGACATCTGGCTCTCGGTGGATCCCAGCGTGCGCTGGCATCGGAGACGCGGACGCTTGCCGCCCTCGGAGCCGAGGTCGGACGAGGATCGCGACGTCGACAGGTGCATGCCCTTCATCAGCGCAGTCAGTCCATCGCCCGTGACCCTCATGGCCTTTTTGCTGGCGGCGATGTACGAGGGCTGCCTCGACTTGCGCGAGAGCTCCTGCGCCCTGGCTGCGGCGATGCCGGCCGCCTCATCGGCCGCTTCTCCTGGTCCAGGCGTCGTCGCCGATGGCAGGCACTTTTTCCAAAGCGCGCCGATGACGTCGGCGAAGCCCTGAAGGTAGCGGAGGTCCTCGACCCCGACGACGCGCCTCCTGGATCGCGTGAGGGCCGCCAGGACGAAGCCGATCGAAGCGCCGGCCTCGGTCGAGAGGATCGAGCAGCGTCGAATGGCGACGTTGCTGGTCGAAGAAGGGACGGGCGCAGGCGTGTCGCGGCTCACGGGGGGCGTGTGACCTTCAAAGATGGTGGAGAGCTCCGAGGCAGCACGCCCGTCCGGAAGATTGAAGAAGATCGGGCAGAAGACCGCTGCCTGGAACTTGCCGTCCTGCCTGCGCGCATCGCCGTCGTCGCTTGTGCCGTCTGTGCCGCCAAGGTCCGTTTCGAAGCGCGCCGCATTCTCGTAGACCAGGCCGCCCTCGTGAGCGTGAAGCGCCTTGAGGTAGAGATCCGGATTGAGTCGCTCGATCGGACCGGGCAGGCCGTGGCTGCCAATGAGGCTGCAGCGGTCGGCCGGGGACGCGACGGCGACGACGTACACCACCTCGAGATCGATGGCATCGGCGATGATCGACGTGCAAAACTCGATGTCGGCGATGTCGCGTCGCGTCGCCGTCAGGCCGAGGCCGGCAATCTTGCGCGGGTCGGTCGGCGAGGGTGGCGGGAACCTCGAAGGGTCGAGCAGGTCGGACGGTGGCGCGATGCGGGCTCCCGGCCGTACCTCGCCGCGCTCGCGTAGGTGCCGCTCCAGCTTCCACCAGCCCTGCTCGATGGCGTCGACCTTGCGGCGGAAGCACTCGGCCGCCCAGGACTCGAGCTCCGCGGCGATGGCCACCGAAAACTCAGCCAGCAGCGCCCTGTCACCCTCGCACTCTTCCATGCCGCTCCTGGGCTCAGAAGAGAGGCAGCAGAGCTGTCATGGACAACGTGGAGGAAAGCAGGTCAGCCTTATCCACGTTCACTTGCATTTGCTCTGCAAAGGTTCCAGTGCCTGGCCAGCTCACAGCGCCAAGAGGGACTCCTTCCGCTGTGCACACGGGCATCGCCGCGTAGTAGCGGACGCCCTCAAGAAGCGGGTTGTTCGAGGTCCGCCAGTCTTTGCTGAGGTCCGGAATGATGAGACCCTCGTTCCGGTTGACTGGAGGGGGTAAAGCATCCCGGGATAGGAGATCAACGGGCTGGCACCGCAGCGGCTCTGCAGTCATGGCCTGCGAGGGGCACTCACGGATGGTGTGCGAGCAAAGCAGGTGGCCTCGCGGGTAGACGCCGGGCGGGAAGAACTCGCTGCCGCTGCACCACAGGTGTACGACGTCGTTCTCGACGACGACAAACATGCTCTCTCGGCACTGGGTCCGGCGCTGCAGCTCGTCGCAGATCTCCTGGATCTTGATCCAGCGTTCCTGCGGCATCTCCTCGATCCGCAGGCGATGGAGCGACCGCTGCCTCTCGGTCTCCCAGCCCGGTCGAGGGGCCAGCATCGGACCTTCGCTGGGAGACGCGGGCCCGCTCGGGACGACCGACGGATCGGGCCTGCCTTTCGACGGCGCTGGCAGAGGAGCGTTGAGGTCGAGCTGACCGTTGGCGTAAGCGCGCACGAAGCTCTCCCAGTCCTGCAAGGCCGGATCGTCGTGCGAGAGCAGCTTGCAGGGGCTGCGCACCGGCTGGCCGTGCCGGTCCCGGATGATGGCCTTGGTCGGAGGAGCCGCGGCTGCAGCTGCTGCCGTCTGAAGCAGGCGACCTTGGTCCGTCGCCATCCGCTGCTTCGGCGCGCCAGGCTTGCTCTTTGCTCCGCCCCGGAAGTAGTCGTCGGGCGACGAGGACAAAGACCAGGCCGACGATGAGGCCGCTCCTTCGACCGAGGGCGTGGCAGGGGCGGTCGAGAGGTTCGAGACGGGTGTCGCGGGCACGCTGCCCTCCTTGGTCGTCTGGTCCCCCTTGTGTAGGCTCGTCAGCGACTTGAAGGAGCTGATGCCTGGCAGGCTGGTTAGGCTGTGGAGCGCATCGATCGAGGCGCTCCGGCTCCTCGGGTGCAGCTTCTTCCACGACCGTCGCTTGAGAATCGAGGGTCGGCCATGGTGCGACGCGGAAGCTCCCTCGTCGAGGTGGCGAGACGACGGCAGTGCGGTCGAAGGCGTCCAGTCACCCCCTACGCTCTCGTCTTGCGTGGCGGCGAAGGGAGAACGAGGTGCCTGAGGCAGGGGCGGGCTCGACACCACACCCTTGCGGCGACTTTCCCCGGAGCTACCGGCGCGGGATTGCTCTGCTGCGTCTGCAGCGCCGAGCGCTTCCAGCAGCGTCTGAGGTGGCCCCAGGGGGTCCGCCACCGTTCCGGGCAGCAGCGTCGGGCCATGGACAGGCGAACGCTGCGGAGGCGGGGGCAGGGGCGGACCAGGCTCCCCCTCGCGGACATGAGGAGCATCCCGAGCTGGTCGCGGCCAAAGCAGAGGATGAGATCGAGCCCGCGTCGGCGAGGCGGGGCTCGGCGACGCTTCTGCCAGGATTAGACCTGCACCCGGCTTGGCCGGGCTGCTCCGGCTGCGAGCGGTCTCGCCGAGCCGCTTGAGCCGCTTGACGCTGCTGGTGCTCGCCAGTTTCACTGCCTCGGGGGCTGGCTGAACCTGTCGCGCCTCGGAAGGTCGCTTGGACTCCGCAGCGGCAGTGCCAGAGGAAAGCGGGACGCGCTGCGTTGGATGAGGACGAGGCGTCAGATCTCGAGGCTTGGCGGGTGCAGGGGCGGCTTGGCCAGGGGAACGTGGGTCAGAAGGATCCTCGTCGGCTCCTGTGCCAACGCCTGGGCGCGGCGAGCTGGGAAACGGGTGCCTCGAGGCACGGTCCATCTTGCTGAGATCGGTCGGGAACCTCGACACCGCCACTGCCTGCCGCTGCCCTTTGGTGGTCTTCACTGGCTTCAGCGCCACTTGCTTCCGCCGCGAGCGCCGGCGCAGATCGCCTCTCGACCAAGCCGGTCGGACGCAGTCTAGACGGCAACGACGACGGACGACGATGGCGTCGAGCCGCCTGCTGCCATCGGACTGTAATGTCGAGTAGCTGTCCAAAGCCGAGATAGGAGCGGTTCTCGTTGGGTTCCGACGGGTGGCGATGTTGGACAAAAGGCCGACAGAAAAGGCTGCCGAGTGGCCACACGAGGGAGCAGCCTCGATGAAGACAGGAGAAGGACGAACAGATGATCGAGCGGGGCAGGTGTGGGAGGCCGGGGTGGTGATGGTGGTGGTGCGGAGCAAAGGAGGCCGTCGAGACTGGCTGCCAGACGTCGTCAAGGGACGGCGGGGCAGGCGGCCTGCGCGCCACTCGGCGACTTCCGAGACCTGACCGGCCTGCCCGGCCTGCAGGGCTGGCCTCGCGGACCAAAGGCCGCGGCCGTTTTTTCGGCATCGCCGATGCTCCAGGCCAGGCTAGGTGCGCCCGTCCCTCTTGGACTGAGCCATGGCTCGCCAGCGCGTTGCCCGCCCGTCCGCCCTGCCTGGTCTGCGCCGGCCTGTCTGGCCTCACTTGGGCTTGGACACAGTCAGCAAAGCGCCCAGGCGTCTCGCTCGAGTAGTAGTGAGGCGTGCGTGCGTGCGTGCGTGCGTGCCTGCGCGCGCGGAAGAATGCGCTGCGCTCAAAGCGGGCAGCCGCCCACCTCCCGGCTCGCACTTGCCCTCACCCGCGCCGGTGGCTGGCGGCTGGACGTGCCTGCGGCCTTGATGGGCAGATCAGGACGTCTCCGGCTCGAGGGAGTGTGGCGGGTGGATCGAAAGAGGAGGCTGGTGGGCACCACCACACCTTGGCCTTGTGCCATCCGACCCACCCTCATCACGCCCTTGCCTCTAACGTAGCCCCAGAATCACCTCATAATGTCGATGTCGACCAACCTTGACAAAGTGCTTGGTGAAATGACCAAGAACCGGCGGCTTCCTTGACGACGACGACGGCATTACCAACTTGTTTGACGAGCTCGACTTCTTCCCAGCCGATAAGGAGGAGCAGCAAGCCGGCCTGTGATGCAATCTGCCGCCTGGCTGGGGGCTGGTGAGAAGCCGGTGCTCATCTACATCAACCAAGCTATGCCTCAGAAAAGCGGCCGGTGATGCACTCAGCCAGCAGCGGCCCAGCATAGACACCCATCGCATGTCTAGCTTTGAGCTTGCTGCTGCAGCTGCTCTACTCGACCCTGCTGTACGCTGGCCCTGCTTGGCCGATCTCGTACGGCTTGTCACCGTTGTTGCATCAAGCCTGTGCTTCCGTCGCCCGCAAGCTCTCACCACACGATATTGCACGGCGCGTTCATCGACACCTTCTTGTCTCTTTCACTCGTTGAGGGTCGAGCTCGCGCAGGATCAGTCCTTGCTTCTGTTTCATGAACTGGACTGCAGCAGCGGATCAATGGAGAGAGATCACGCCGAGCCCTTGGCCTCGTCGGCGTGGAGACGCCTGAGGACGCTCTCCTTTCTGCGCTGGTTCTCGGTGAGGCCGCGGCTCCAGTCATCGGCATTGCCACCGCCGCCAGCGGCGGCCGCTTCCTCCGCTTTCGCCGAGGATCCCTGCGAGCCGGGCGCTGCTGCGTCAAAGGTCGGTGGCGGCTTGTCGGTCCGGGTGCCGATGCGGATGTCGGTGGCGATCCGGAGCGCGCCGAGCTTGTGCACCGCTTCATGGCACCGCTCGATGGCCTTGCAGACTACCGGGAAGCTGCCTTCGAGGTTGGTGCCATAGCCACTGCAGGCGCTCGAGGGACGTAGCGAGAGAACGAGGGAAGAAGGCCGGCTCTGTCAAGGCTCGATCGATTGTGTGGCGGTGTCGACGCTCATGGCAGCTGGCGGGGGGGGACACGCAGGCCAGACTCACTGCACTTCGTAGCGGATGCCGTCGTCCTTCATCGACTCGAGCACGCGCTGGCACTCGGTGATGTACTCGCCCACCGAGGTGGTTGGCGTCCCCATGGGGATCACTTGCGATGGTCATCGGAGAGGGGTCCGAAAGAGGATTTCCAGGGCGACGGTCAGCGATCCAGGGATGCAGCTCGCGGCCTGGCCGTCCATCGGCACGCTCCGTCGACGAGCGGGGCTGTCCAGACTCACGGCAAAAGTCTGCCACGGCGTAGAGCGGTTGCGACATCTTCTGCAGTGGTTTGGAGGCTGAAGGTGGGCGGAGAGGGTGGCGATAGAGGCGGAGCAGCCGGAGCGTCGGGTGAGTTCCGAAGGCAGGCAAGAGGTGTTGAACGGCGCACGGACGGCCGGCCTGCCCTTCCGCCCTCCTCCACACGCAGGCTCTACGCGACGCGGTCAGACGCGCCAAAGGGGCCAGAAAGAAGATGTGCAGGGCCAGGCAGGGCAGGGCAGGGCAGGGCAGGGCAGGGCAGGGCAGGGCAGGGCAGGGCAGGGCAGGGCAGGGCAGGGCAGGGCAGGGCAGGGCAGGGCAGGGCAGGGCAGGCCTGCCGCTGCTGAGCTGCTCGGACCGCCACCACCACCACCACCTTCGCCCCTGCCGTCTCCGTATACCCTCGGTCGCCACATCTGATCCTCGTTGCTCTGCCAATCTCGGCCTTCGCCTCCTCAACAACCGCACTGTGACCGATTCCCTGCCGCCTTCGCTTCACTCTCAAGCCTCCTCGTATCAGCTCCCCTTTCCTCGGCGCCTCGGAGCAGCCCACCGCCCTTGATCACCATGTCCGGCCTCATGTACGCCGGCACCAACATCGGCGGCTCGGGTGCGGGCGACAAGGAGAAGCCCGATCTCGGTCTCGACAATGTCGCCGAGTCTAGCTTCTGCAGCTACTTCCGCGGCATGCCCAAGCCCGCTGCCGGCACCGTTCGCCTGTTTGACCGCAACGACTTCTACTCGGCGCACGGCAGCGACGCCATCCTCATCGCCGACGTCGTCTTCAAGACGCACTCGGCGCTCAAGTACCTGGGCGGCGGCGGCAAGGACAAGGGGCTGCCCTCGATCACGCTCAGCACGTCGGCCGCCAAAAACTTCCTCCGCGATGCCCTCACCGCCCGCCAGATGCGCGTCGAGATCTGGTCCAATGGCGGCGGCAAGCGCAACAACCAGTGGACGCTCGCCAAGCAGGCGTCGCCCGGCAACCTCCAGCAGCTCGAGGACATGCTCTTTGTCAATGCCGACATCGTCAGCTCGCCCATCGTCATGGCGCTCAAGCTCACCACCCAGGACGGCGTCCGCACCGTCGGCGCTGCCTTTGCCGACGCCACCAACCGCGACCTCGGCGTGGCCGAGTTTCCGGAAAACGACCTGTTCAGCAACGTCGAGTCGCTCCTCATCCAGCTCGGCGTCAAGGAGTGTATCGTTCCGCGCGACGACAAGGGCGGCGACGTCGACCTTGCCAAGCTGCGCACCGTCATCGACCGGTGCGGCTGCGTCATGTTCGAGACCAAGCGCGCCGAATTTGCGCCCAAGAACATCGACCAGGACCTGCGCCGCCTGCTCAAGGACGAGGCCGCCAGCATCTCGATCGCCGAGCTCGACCTCGCGGCGGCCATGGGCTCGGCCACCGCCCTCATCGCCTACCTCGGCCTCCTCAACGACGAGTCCAACTTTGGCCAGTACACGCTGCGCACCCACGACCTCTCGCAGTATCTCCGGCTCGACAATGCGGCGCTGCGTGCGCTCAACCTCTTCCCCGAGCCAGGCCAGTCCGCCAACGGCGGCAACAAGAACGCCAGCATCTTTGGCCTGCTGAACCGCTGCAAGACGGGCCAGGGCCAGCGGCTGCTCGGCCAGTGGCTCAAGCAGCCGCTCGTCAACGTCCACGCCATCGAGGAGCGCCAGAACCTGGTCGAGGTGTTTGTGCACGACGTGTCGACGAGGCAGATTGTGCAAAACGACTTCCTCAAGATGATCCCGGACATGCACCGGATCAGCAAGCGCTTCCAGAAGGGCGTGGCCACGCTCGAGGACGTGGTGCGCGTCTACCAGGCGGTCCTGCGCCTGCCCGGCCTGATCCAGGCGCTCGACGACGCTGAGACGCCGAGCCAGGTGCACAAGGACCTGGTCGCGTCGACCTTCCTGGAGCCGCTCCGCGTGAGTGAGGCCTGCCTGCCCCTCGTACGCTAAACCGCTCTTCCTCCGCTGACTGTCCGATCCCCTCTGTCCTCGAATCTTCCCCTTGACCGCTCCGCAGGCACACGACGAGGCGCTGGCGAAGCTGACGGAGCTGGTCGAGGCGACGGTCGACCTCGACGAGCTGGCGTCGCACAACTTTGTCATCAAGCCCGACTTCGATGCGGGCCTGAAGCAGATCAAGGAGGCGCTCGACGACGTGCGCGACAAGCTCGACGACCAGCACCGCGCGGCGGGCAAGGAGCTCAAGATGGACATTGAAAAGAAGCTGCACCTCGAGAACCACTCGTCGTACGGCTACTGCTTCCGCGTCACGCGCACCGACGCCAGCCTGGTGCGCAACAAGAAGGGCTACCACGACATTGCCACGGTCAAGGGCGGCCTCTTTTTCACCAACGGCGCGCTGCGCGAGCTGAGCACCGAGTTCCGCGACCTCTCGGAGCGCTACAACCGTTCGCAGAGCGGGCTGGTGCGCGAGGTCATCCAGATCGCATCGACCTACTGCCCGCCGCTGGAGCAGCTCAACGTCGTCGTGGCGCAGCTCGACGTAATCGTCAGCTTCGCCCACGTCTCGGACAACGCGCCCGTGCCCTACGTCAAGCCCAAGGTCGAGGAGAAGGGCAAGTCGGCCGACCTGCGCATCCACGAGGCGCGCCACCCGTGCCTCGAGGTGCAGGACGACATCAACTTCATCCCAAACGACACCGAGATGGTCAAGGGCGAGTCCGAGTTCCTCGTCATCACGGGACCCAACATGGGCGGCAAGTCGACATTTATCCGGCAGGTGGGCATCGTCGCGCTGCTGGCGCAGGTGGGCTGCTTTGTGCCGGCGGCCGAGGGGGCGACGGTGCCCGTGTTTGACTGCATCCTGGCCAGGGTCGGGGCGGGCGACAGCCAGCTCAAGGGCGTCAGCACGTTTATGGCCGAGATGCTCGAGACGGCCACCATCCTCAAGACGGCGACGGCCGACTCGCTCATCATCATCGACGAGCTCGGGCGCGGCACGTCGACGTACGACGGATTCGGCCTGGCCTGGGCCATCTCGGAGTGGATCACGACGCGCATCGGGTGCAAGTGCCTGTTCGCTACCCACTTCCACGAGCTCACCAACCTGGCCAACCAGCAGCCCCACGTCCGCAACCTCCACGTCGTCGCCCACATCACCCAGCGCCCCGGCGGCTCCAGGCAGGACCGCGACATCACCCTGCTCTACAAGGTCGAGCCGGGCATCAGCGACCAAAGCCTGGGTATCAACGTGGCCGAGCTGGCCAACTTCCCGCCCTCGGTCATCCAGCTGGCCAAGCGCAAGGCCGAGGAGCTCGAGGAGCCCGAAGGTGAGTGTGCGCGCGCGACAGACGAGCGGGACGCGGCAGGCAAGAGGCTGACCCCGACTTGTGTCCATCCCGGTGCTCGACCTGACCCAGACGACGAGCCGACCACGCTGAGCATGGCCGAGGATGTGACCGCCGAAGGGACCGCGCTGATCGAGGAGTTTATGGAGACGTGGGCGGCGCGATCCGAGGCGCTCGCTGCGGACGACGATGCCATGGACGAGAGCGAGGGCGGCGGCGGCGGTGCCGAGGGATCCGCCAGCAAGAAGCGCCGCGTCGATGCAGAGGCCCAGCTCCGGGAGCTTCGCAAGTGCGTTGAAGAGTTCCGACCTCGCATCCAGGCCAACGTGAGTGCCTGGCCCCGACGGCGGCGGACCGACAGAGAGAGAAGTGAGAGACAGAGAGGCTCCTGTTGCTGACACCGGCCGAGCTTCATTCCGGAACCATGCTTGCTTCGACCGAACAGGCCTGGGCGAGCAAGGTGCTCGAGAGCTTCTGAAACCAGCCCGCTGTGCCCGCATGCCCTGTTCCTCGTTCCCTTCCTCTCGCTTCCACACCATCATCTGTACTCTACTGTCCTCTTTCAAGGTTGCGAATCCCTGAACGTGTTTCCGCCACCACGGCTTGGTTACGACTGGAGCCGGATCATCCGAATTGGCGCGGCGCGGCACAGAGCGATGCGATGCAGAGCGGGCCAGGACCGAGCTGGTCGGAAGCGAGCAGGATACAGCAGCTGGCTGTGACAACGAGCTTGATCCCGCCTGCAACGGCGCGAAATCTTTCGTTATGTACCTGGCCCACGTTGCGCTGCAGGTCCAAGGATGCTAGTGACTGTGATTGTCGTTGTCCCTTGTGTATGTTGCTGCCCGCGTGGATACCGGTGGGCCGGGAGGTAGAGAGACGAGGAGAAAGGAACGATGGGCGCCCCACGTTTTGCCACCGGCAGCCTTGGGCGGCGCACGTGGGGCCGGCGGCCGCTCCAGCGCCCGCACCCTGAGCTCCTCAAGCGAGCAAACGAAGGGGGCACCTCGTTTGCCCTCACGACCGAAGAAGCTCCCTATCGAAGAACCTTCTTCGACGAGAGTGCCCGTGACACGACCCGGGACTTCGCTTGGAGCATCTCAGCACACGCTTCGCTCGCTCTTCTCCGAGGGTCGCTGGTCCTGTCTCGACCACGATCCGCCTCGATAGACCGCATGGAAGGCGAGAACGTTGAGCCAGCTTAGTAGTGGACCGGAAGACCCTGTCCCTAGCCATGAGCTCGTTCCCGGCTCCACGGGCTGGAAGACCCGACCTCCTTACGGCCATGGTATCTCTAGCCTAGCCTGCTCTTTTGCACCACGAGGAACGGAGAACGTAACGCCCGGATCTCGCTCGGCAAGCGAGAAAATGCAAAAATCAAAGAGGGCCTACTCGGAAGGTGTCGGTCCGAACCGTGAGCGCGTCGAAAATCGCCCCGGGCCCCACCCACGGCTCTTTCCCCGACCCTGGCCGACGGCGACTGGCGGCATCAGCGGCGGCGACGGCGACGGCGGCGGCGAGGTGCAGCTCGAAAGATAGGCTCTTCCGGACCATGGATCCACACACTACCTCGGATGGCATCCGTGCCAAGAGGTCGAGGTCGAGCGAGGCGAGAAGAAGCGAGGCCAGTTCGCGCCGCGCCGCACTGTGAGCCGCCCTGGCCTACTGTACCTCGACCTTTCCGAGAGCAGCCTAAGGTACGGTGTGAGCACGAGGCCAAGTCGGTCTTACGGTCGAGGATCCAGTTGACATATAAGGTCATCGTCCAGCCGCTCTCCGTAACGTGTCAGTCGTTCTTCACCCACAAAACTCCCCTCTTCCTCACCGCCTTTTCAGGATGCTCGCCAACGTCTTTCCCCTCGCGCTTCTCGCCCTCGCTGCTGGCGCCGACGCCACCTCCGTTGGCTTTGGCAAGGTCGGCGAAACGGTCCAGTGCCTGAGGGCTCTCACCCAGCGCTCGTGCCACTCCAAGTACACCATCCCTTACGACTCCCCCGCCACCTGCTGCTACAATGGCGCTTTGGGCCCGGACCTGCCCGAGTCTGGTCTCTTCCTCTCGACCCAGTTCTGGGACACTAATCCTGCTACGGGACGTCCTGACGCCACTACAGCCCATGGTGAATGGCCAGACTTCTGCGACGGAACGTACCCTGCCTACTGCTCGAACGTTACGGGTATCCCTGAGTACACAGGCGCCGAGATCCGTGCGGTTCTGCAGAAGTACTCTCCTGAAACCTTGGCGTTCATGGACGTCAACTACAAGGGCTACAACGGCACCGACGAGGACTTCTGGGAGCACGAGTACAACAAGCACGGTACCTGCATCACCACCAACCGTCCTGAGTGCCAGATCCCGCTGCCGGGCATCAGCAGGGAGGACTTTGTCGTGCTCGAGTACTTCAAGCAGATCGTCCGCAGGTTCAAGGCCCGTGAGTGGCGCGACGCGCCGGCGACTCTCAGACCTCGACCGTGAGGACGTTCCAGCGCTGACTCTGCTCTGTTCTTCCTGCATCCCCGCCTCCACTACGCTGACAGTCCCGACCTACGACTGGCTCGCCGAGGCCGGCATCGTCCCCTCGACGAACACGACCTACTCGCTCAAGTCGATTCAGGACGCCCTCGCCAAGAAGCACGGCGGCATCCCCTACATCGGCTGCCGCAAGGGAGAGCTCAACGAGTTCTGGTATTTCGATACTGTTAAGGGCCAGTTGTCGTCGCCGCTCGCTCACTTCTACCCGGAGAACTCGACGACAAAGTCCAACTGCCCCGAGCAGGTCAAGTACCTGCCCAAGGTCTTCTAGAGAGCGATTTCGCGCGACCGAGCTTCTTCGGCCAGCAAACCACCATTCTGCCATGTTCCTTTCACTCGAATGATCCTATTAGAGGGCTCTCGCATTACAGGCAATGGAAAGATGGCATGAGGAACGGGGCATGATATGCTATGCTGCTAGTCGGCTCGACCGTCTGCGCTTGTCACCACTTTCGGCGTCGACTGGTGGCGCGGCTGCGGCGCGTTTCGGCTTGGCGGCGGGGGCCGTCTTCGCGCTCGCCGCTGTGTCCTTCTTTGGCCGGGGCGGCGCTGGCTTGACCTCATCCTCGACGGCTTCCACAGACGCTTTGGCGGCCTTGACCGCGCCCTTGGGGTTCCACTTTCCTGGCCAGTTTTGCCACCCACCCCGGTCGCCGAGGAGCACGACGGCCTCGTAGGCCTCGGGGGACACCGGCTGTGATGTCGCGGATGGCAGGGGGGGCAGAAAGAGGCGATCAGTCAGTTGCCAGCCGCTCTGGGGCACGCGAGGGCGATTTTCGCGGTGCGACGCGGGCTCAGCGCGACTACGCACCTGCACGCTCAGCCTTCCGCGATTGAGGAGGGCCATTTCCCGGATCGCACGGCGATGATCCGCAGAGAGGTACTCGATCTCGCTCTCCTCTTGATTCGATAGGTCTCCGGCCGCGATCTTTTGCAGCAGGCCTAGGGGTACGAGGCGGGGCAGCCTGCGCTGGAACGCGACGTCGACGAGGAACCACTTTGGCGCCGCGGGGTCCGACTTGGGATCGTAGTAGGGGTGCTTTGGGTCGAACGCAGATGCGTCCGGATACCCCTGCCTGCACACGGTGGCGAGGCCGGCGACGCCCGGAATCTTGGTGTTGGAGTGGTAGAAGAGGACGGCGTCGTCGAGCCGCATCTTTTCCTTCATGATCGTCTTGGCCTCGGGGTTGCGCACGCCGTCCCAGGGCGTCGTCTTGCACGCCTCAAAGTGGTCGATGCTAAACGCCACATCCACGCCCTTTTCCAGGCGCGGGTCCGGCTCGGCCTTCATCAGCCAGTGCTGCCGCGGCCGCGCTTCGGATGCGGTGGGTGAGGACGAGGTGGCATGGTCATTGCCGGGGGTAGGGGCGGAGGGTGTGGCCGCTTTGGACGAGGCTTTGCGTCTGGGCGGCATCGGAGGGGTGCAACAGCGGGGAAGAGATGGCAGTCTGGGGTCTGTCAGGTAGAGCGGGAGCGCCGGCGCGTGGCACGAGAGGCGGCGCCAAGGGATCGAGAAGGTCATACGACGTCGACGACGACGACGTCCTGTTTGGATGGAAGAAGCGCAGAAGGAGCAGCAGCTAGCGTCTTGATGCTGCCTGGCGCGTGCACACACAGAGCCGCGGCTGATTGATGCAATCTCAAATGCCTCCACACCGTACCCTGCCAAAAGCCCTTCTCGCCGGCGCAATGAAATCATCATCCTCCCTCGTGTGGCTGGCCCATGCCCTTCTCGTCTCCGGACCACCACAACCACCACCACCGATCTCGACCAACGCAAGCATGTCGTACCGCCAAGCCTTCTCCGCATTCTACGCGCGCAACTTCGAGCGACGGCCGTGGGTGACACTGGCGGTGACCAACGGCATCCTCGGCGTCGTGGCCGACAGCGTGGCACAAAGCCTTGAGCTCGTCTCGAGGCGGCAAAAGCTGCAGGACTCGCAGTCGGGCAAGCAGGTCGAGCTTCGACGAGAGCTCGAGGCGCAGCGAGGCGAGACCGGGGCAGGGGCAGGAGGAGGAGGGTGGGACTTTGCGAGGAACGGTCGCTTCCTCGCCTTCAACGTCGGTATGGCGCCGATCCTGGCAGAGTGGAACAGGTTCATCGAACACAGGTTCCCGCTCAGGGTGCCGGCGGCCGGCGCCGTAGCGGGGCAGGTTGGCGAGGCGGTCAAGTCGGCGGGTCGGGTCAGTGCAAAGGCGCTCGTAAAGAGGGTGGCCACCGACCAGATCCTCTTGTGAGTTCTCCTACGGGCGCGAGTTGCACAGGCTCCGGTGCTGACCTCCCTCTTCCCCTTCTCATATGTCCCGTGACACAGCGCGCCGTTTGGTCTGGTCATGTTTGTCGGAAGCATGGGCCTGATGGAGCGAGGCACGATCCAGGGGACAAAGGACAAGTTCTCCGAGGTGAGCGCGCCGGCATCCCGCCCGTCGGCGTCGTGCCACACGTTCCCCTGTCTCACACACGTCCTCGTCACACGCTCTCGCCGCACACGCTCTCGCCGCACACGCTCGCACACAGATGTACGCCTCCGCGCTGCTGGCAAACTGGCAAGTGTGGCCGCTCGTCCAGCTCGTCAACTTCCGCTACATGCCGCTCAAGTGAGTGTCTGCCCCGCGCCCGGTCCCGCTCCGGAGTCAAGCGAGCGACCGACGCCTGACGTCCCCTCCTGCACCCTCGACAGGTACCGCGTGCCGTTTACGAGCACCGTGGGCATCCTCTGGACCATTGGCCTCTCGCTCCTCTCCCAGGCCACTTCGACACGGCACCAGGTCGAGCAGCAGCAGCAGCAACGGGCGACGGGTGTCGCGGCAGCTACTGCTTCATCGACGGCCGACGTCGCACAAAAGGCATGATCGGTCGCGCATCAGGAATGCAGAGAGCAGAAAGATCTCTCGCTTGATTCATCAGGTAAAGACAGACTGAGCATTGGCGTACGGCAAGAGGCGGGGAGAGAAAGACCGGCAGGGAGGGGGAGAGTATCGCGCGGCATGCCAGACGTTCCGGATCGACCGGAGAGGCTCGCTGCATCAATCCAAACCCCCTGGGGGCCCGCCAGATCCTGTCCTCCGCTCTAAAAGACACCGCCGCCCTTTTTCACATCGACATCGAAACCCATCGTCTTGGAACCGATCGCGACAGGCGGGGAGAGACCGGTCCCCTCGCCTGTCCCTAGAACAACACATCGCCGTCATCCTTCCATCCACCACTTCCACGACGGAAAGAGGGACGGGGGACCTGCTACGCCGCCTAGTTGGGGGTGGGGCTGGGGGCGGCCGAGCTCGAGGTCGAGGCGGCGGGGGCGGCCGACTTGACGGTGAACTTGTGCGAGAGGTAGCTCTCGTAGTCGGCCTCCTTGGTGCCCTGGGTAAAGACCTTCTGGGCGCGCAGCAGCAGGCGGTACTCGCCGTCGGGCAGCGTGACGCTTCCGCCCTGGGGCAGCGCCAGGTCGCGCGTGAGGGGCACGGCGACAAACGAGTAGTCGTCGGCGAGGCCCGTGTCGCTGTTGCGGCCGATCCACTGCTCGCGGTAGAGGGTGCCGACGATGCCGACGTCGGCAAAGTTGTCGCCGGCCTTGGTCGGCGGCGTCACGGGGACCGGCGTGGTGGGCTTGCCGGGCTTCTCGGGCTTGCCGGGCTTGCCGCCCTTCTTGGCGTTGGCGTCCGAGGCGGGGGCGGCGGCGGCGGCGTCGGCCGTCTGGCTCTGCTCCTCGGCGATCTGCTTCCTGTCGGCGGCGGCCTCGATGCTCTCGACCTGCGCGTGCTGGCGGCGGACGACGTTGAAGCCCTTGTGGCCGCCGGCGAGGGCGAGGTCGATGGCGCGCTTCCTGCGCTGCTTGGAGCCCGAGTCGTTGATGGCAATGGTAGGCTTGAAGGTGGTGTTGGCGGGGACGACGTCGATCTGGTACGAGGGGGTGCCAAAGACGAAGCGGAGGTAGAGCTTGGGGTTCTTGGAGGCGTCGGTCGACGAGAGGTCAAAGACGTGCGAGTCGTCGGTGATGGGGTCCGTGTTGGAGTCGCCGATAAAGGGCAGCTGGACGCCAAAGAGCTCGGCGCTGTCGTCGAGGATCTTGGTCGACGAGAGGTCGCCGACGACGCCGCCGTAGGGGATGCGGAGGCCGGTGTAGTCGGAGCCGGCCGGGGTGAGGACGACGTAGCCGCTGTAGATGGGCAGCTTGGTGGCGTCGAGGCCCGAGGGGGGCGTCACCTTGACCGAGAACGTCGTCGATCCGCCGGGCGAGACGGTGACCTTCTTCTTGCTGATGTCGACCTTGGCGTACTGGCTGGTGAGCGGGACGGGGCCGTCGTTGAAAAAGACGTCGGTGCCGTCCTTCTTGCTGATGGCGGTGCCGACGGCCTGGTGGGTGAGGCTAAAGGTGCGCGGCTTCTTGCCCGTGTTCTTGAGCGTGATCTGGTGCGAGCCGACAAAGTGGGTCGTGTCGTTGAGCTCGATGGCGCGCGGCGAGTACTCGATGTCCTGGTAGAAGGCGTCGAAGCTCTGGGTCAGGCCGCCTCCCTGCTTGACGAGCGTCTCGTACTCGCTCGAGTCGGCCTTGCTCTGCCTCAGCGGCGCGCCCGTCGATCCAAAGATGGAGAGGAGCGACTGCGGCGACGTCTTGCCACCGTGGGCGGCGCGGTAGACGGCAAACGAGCCAGACATGAACGGAGTGGCCATCGAGGTGCCCGAGATGATGGTGTACTTGCCGAGCTTGATGGGCCAGGTCGAGAGGATGTTGCCGCCGGGCGCGCTGATCTGGGGCAGCAGGCGGTTCTCGTTGCTGAGGCCGTAGGTCGAGAAGCTGCTCATCAGGCCGCCCGAGGCCGTGTCGGGCTCAGTGTTGGACTGCAGGTCGGAAAAGTCGAGCGTGACCTTCTTGCCGGCGGCAAACTGCTTGACGAGGAACTGGCCATCCTCGCGGGTGAGCGAGGCGGCCTGCTGGCCGGGCACCTGGGAGCTGACGTAGGTGACCGAGGCGGGGGCGGGCGTGTTGTAGATAAAGACGTACTTGGCGCCCTTGGCGGCGACGTTGGTGAACTTGGTGGCAAAGGGGCAGGTGCCTCGGCCCACGACGACGACCTTGTTGGACAGGTCCGGGGTCGAGTCGGGCAGCGGGGCGCAACCGTCGTCCTTGATCTCGGGGTCGGTGCTGGTGGCGTACACCTCGAGCTGGGGCTTGGCGCCCGAGGCAAAGGTAAAGGGCGATCCGACAAGGTAGGTGATGGCGTCCTTGCCGAGGCCAGTGGGGGACACCTTGGCGGTGTAGCCGGTCAGCTGAACGTTCTGAACCGAGCCGATGGCAGCGACGCCGCCGCCCGAGGCGGGCGCGCTCGAGTAGTAGGTGCCGTACGCGCCGTCGTTGCCCTGGGCGATGACGACGGGGGTTCCGAGGTCGACGATGCGGCTGGCGACGGCGGCGCCGCCCGAGTTGAGCCAGCCGCCGGGTCCGCCGATCGAGAGCGAGAGGATGTCGTTGCCGTCAAAGTAGGCACGCTGAAGCGCCGAGATGATGACGTCGTCCGAGGCCGAGCCGCCGCAGCCAAAGACGCGGTAGGCGCGGAGGTTGGCGTGCGGGGCGACACCGGTGAAGCCGAGCGTCGTGTCGTTGGCGGCAATGGTGCCGGCGACGTGGGTGCCATGGCCGGAGCCGGGGCAGTCGGCAAAGGGGTCGTTGTCGGCGACGGGCGTGTTGGAGCCGTTGTACTTGTCGCCGACAAAGTCGTGTCCGCCGATGACCTTGCAGCCGGGGCCGAAGCAGGCCTGGTTGCCGGGCTTGCCGCCGAGCGCGGGGTGCGTGTAGTCGATGCCGCTGTCGATGACGCCGACGGTCTGGCCGGCGCCAAAGTAGCCGGCGGCGTGGAGCTTGTCGACGCCGGTCATTACGTGCGGGCTGAAGGTGTCCTTGACGCCGGCCTCGCCCTTGGAGGCGGGGGAGCGCTTGGCGTTGGCGGCGGGCTGCGAGCCGACCGAGGTGCGGACAAAGTCGTCGCTGGCGGGGACGGGGTCAAAGGCGGGCAGGCTGTAGAGCGTGTTCCTGCGGATCGACTTGACGTTGGGCGCCGAGAGGAGGACGTGCAGGTCGTCGTCCGAGTCGAGGGTGACCGACATGCCGACAAAGAGCTGCGGGTCGTTCCACTCGTAGCGCGTCGTGTACTTGTCCTTCTTTCCGCGCGCCACGAGGTGCTCGTGGAAGTGGTCGACGGCGGCGGCGCGCTTGCTGCCGGCGTTGGACTTTGACGCCGACGACGCGTCGAGCTCGACAATGTACGAGCGCGGCACAAAGGGCGCGGTGCTGCGCTGGAGGGCGACCTTGGGGCGGCTGATCTGCGCGTTCTTCTCGGCGGCGGTGCGCGACACGCCCTGCATCGGCAGGGGGCCGGCGTTGCGCTGCGAGGCGGCCGTGTCGGCGGCGAGGGCGGCAGTGGGGCCCGAGGCGAGGATGGTGGCCATGGCCAGGGGGCCGGCCAGGAGGAGGGAAGACACCTTCATGTTGGGAGAGGGATCCGCTCTACGGGGCTGTCTAGTGGAGAGAGTTCAGGAGCGTGTCCGGAAGGGAGTGTGGTTGCAGTGCTTGCTGTGCAGGGCGAGGGGGCTGTTGTCGGGAAGCAGGCAAGGCGAGACAGAGGTCAGCGGCCGAGGTCGACAAAGGGACAGCGACGGCGCAGCGGTGAAACTCACAAGGTAAGGGAGATCGTTGGAAGTCGTGCGTGCGCGGAGAGGGGAGGAGGGCTCCAAAGAGGCCCAGCGGATAGGCCAGCGAAAGACGAAGGGGAAAGACGGGGGGAGGAGGGGATAGGAAGGGGAAGGGGGAGGGGGATGGGGGGAAAGGTTGGGAGAAGACGTCTGCACCACGATGGGAGCAGCTGTGGGTGGCAGCTTTATAACTTTGGCATCGGCGTCCTCTTCCCCGCCCTGCACGTCCGAGCTGTACAGAACGAGGGGCGCAGAAGCTGATGAGACCGGAAGAGACCCGAGGTGCAGTGTGCACGCAGTGGCATGGCGAGGCGCGGCTCGAGGCGTATGCGTAACCCCGCCCGTTCGGAAGACGGTGGTGCGATATGAAAGGCCAGGCGATGCACCAGGGCCGCCCGCGCGCGACTGCTGCTCCGGTCTGGTCCTTTGCCATGGCGACATGGACGGCAATCAAACCGCTGCACAGGTCAAGGTTGAGCTCGCCACCGGCGGCAGAGCCAGACGGCCATGCGAGCCTGACGGCTGTGGGGCCAGCAAGCCCGAGCCGGGCAACGGTGGCCCAGCTGCTGCTTGGATGCCGCTCTCTGCTTGCTTGCAAGATTCTGCTTGGCCCTCGAGGCATCGGCTGTCGTGGTACCGTACGTGGTCGTTCCTGCGAACGGTTGCGTGCGCACGCGTGCCTGCGGGCATGAGCATCCAACAGCGGCCGGCCGGCGCAGACGATCCATTGGGCGGGCGGACGGGCAGCGAGCAGACAGCCGGACGGTGAGAGCCACACAGAGACACCACCACCACTCTGCGACGGAGCTGCGAAGCAAAGAAGACACAAGCGCCAAGCGGACGCAGAAAGCGGCGGAAGAGCGACAAGCGATGGCGACTCGGGGGAGAGCGCAACGGTGGCCTCCGGTCGCGGTCGCGGGTTCCCTGCGTGGCCCCGAGCAAGCTTCGAAGGCAGGCAGGCAGGGTGGAAGAGGCCTGCCTAGGAGCAGCGAAGCTCGCTTGCCCCTCTTCGACTGCACGGCGTTCCGGGCCAATCAATCTCTGGCGGCCAGCTTCCGAGACGTGTTCACGCTCAGGCCGGGATGTCGTCGGGCTGCGTCGGTGGCTTATCGTCAGCAAGCCAGCCTCGCGCAACGGAGCCAGAGCAAGGCAGGCGTGGATGCCCGTGTCGAGCTAGGTTCGGCCGGCCGCCAAAGGCAAAAAGGTTGTGCGATCTACGTACGTGCAGCGTTTGCTCTCGGTACCCGGGAGGTGCGGTAATGTGGCAGCCGTTCTGGTTGGCTCGTTGGATCCGTATCGCCTTCAGGGGGGTGACGAGAGGGGGCGAGAGGGGGCAAGGGAGGGAGGGGCAGGGGGAGCCAGGGATACCTACCGTGACCAAGGGTTGGGGGGGGGGGGGGGGGGCAAGGGGAGGGAGGGGGGAAAGGGCGGCCGGCCGTG